CAATAAAAAATCAGAACAAATTTATAATCATATTTGGTGAGAAAAAATAAAAGTCATTTCAGCAATTTGCCCAGCTAATCAAGCGAGGTGCTTAAAATCGAGCGAAGCTAATTTGGTTCAACCGGTGATCTATTGTCCATAACTTTATTATCAGAAGCAGATAGTGTAGTCTTGGTTGACCTATTTTCTAATCATGCCTAATGAAAATAAATGCATATGTTACAGTTTTACAATATAAATTACACGAGCATATCAATCATATCATACATTTAAATGATTTGAAAAAAAAGTTTATATCAAAAGTTTTGATTCCATCTTGTTAAATTTCCTTTGAAGTTCTGAAGCTACGTTGTTTTCTTCCTGAAGATGAATTGTTGATGTAGTTGGTCTTGTCTACATGATCGGGGAGGACATGATAGTGGATTGTTAATATAAAATTCCATAATAGCTATGCTATAGAAGCTATGAAAATGTTTTTGGGAAAAATTTTGTAATTTTCCCTCCACGGCTACAAATTGGTGATTTTCAGTTCTCAAAAAAGGAGTTAATTTTTTCTAATTTCCGTATTTGATGCTTAGCTGGAACTTAGAATTTTTGATGATCAAGAAGGAAGATAGTTTCAGAATACAATTTCCGTATTGGAGGTCAGTCTTCAAATTTGAATCCATGTATAGGAGGTCTTAACGCAATTTTCAAATCCATATCAAAACCTGCTTTGTGGGTCCATTAATTTGACGTTCTTTTTTGTATCTGGAAGTGCAATTTGCCATTCAGTTCAATATGATTCATTGTTTGTCTTCTAACTGTCAATGTATGCGTGGATTCTGGTACCGGCGAATCTACCTTTAGCACCTTAAAGGGTCGAACTATTGCTGTAGTTTTTTCAATCTGAGATATAGAAGAAACTTAAGGAGTTTTAAATTTAGAGAGCGAAATTCGCAGTGTTGGTGGCTTCAATTTAGGAGCTTTTGAAACATGTGAAGTCGTTGTGTTGGTGGTCGATAGAGTGAAAGCTCGTAAAGAGACCGGTGTTGTAAGGACCGTAGTATGGGTGGGTAGCAGATGATGTGGTTTCCAGTAGGGTTGGGGTTTGTAGTTGAGAGTCCAGTTGATTGATGGGTAGGAGGAGGGAGAGAAGATGCTCAAGGCCCTGAAGTAATCGATTAGAGTGAAGTCTGTGGTGTGAAGCGAAATATCAGTCCGAATATCCTAGAATAAGCAGATTTTTAAGTAGACTGGGTTAGTAGGTAGCTCGAAGTCTTGATTCCTTTGATAATAATTTGTTAATTGATTGTGAGGATACATGCGAGATTGGTTAATTTTGTCAATTTTCTCTAATAGAGGTGACTGTACTTTATAATCAATTTCGTCTAATTTTCCATTTAGTTGATCCTGATTAAAAATCGGGATCAATATAGAAGTGAAGAGTCTTTTATACGAAGCGGCGTGTAATACTCTGACGATGGGTAAACAAGCGGCCGGTAATTTTGTGAATATTTAGGGCTTTCACTATAATACTAGACAACCTAGTATAAATTTCACAAAGAAAAATGAGGCAAAGACTTCAGCACATATATTTTTTAAATGAAATTTTTCTTTCTCGAATATACGGGCATATTAATGTTTCCAAAACTCAGAGGAAATGGGATAGTCCAAATATATAGATTGTGTAGAGCCGAGATAGACCTTGAAAATACAATAAAAACTTTTCAATGATTGGCTTCCTTTATTTTGATTTTTATGTACAACACAAAAAAAATAAATTGATAGAACGGCATTAAAACAACTTGAAGTGTTCTGCGAAATAAACTAATTTTTAAAGCCGTTCCGAAATCTCAAAATGTTATTTCAGTTTTAACAAGGCTCATTTTCTGTAATGTATTTCTAATTTTTTGTCATAAATGTAAAGATTGCTTCCAATCCGGTTTCAAATAGCACATGAATCTACCAAGATTTCTCAAAAAACTTAGAGCTGAAAATTTTTGAGTTTGCTTAAATGGAAATCTCCAATATTGCTCCATAATTTTCTTGAACCCGGAAAGTTTAATAACAAGAAAGTTGGGCTCTGTTTTCAATTGAGCACAACACCAATCTTGGTTACCCTTAATGGCTGAGATTTTATTAATTGCGTGTAATGAGCTTCCTATTGACGAGATCTTTGTTACGTCATGATTTGGTGTCGTCTCGTACACGAGGGCAAACTCGGGCGCTATGTTATAGGATAGGAAACCTCCAATTGTGAAAATTACGTCATTGGCAGTTAAAAAGTCACCAAATAAGGCAGTTGCGTAAGGCGATTTAGTAAGAAGAATTAGTCGACCGGTTTTTATATGTAGATCATTGTTGATTAAAATTTGAGATATAAACGAAGTGATGTTTTCTGCGACTACTTTTCCACGGCTGATTAGAAGTGTGATGATAATGACTTCGTTTCGTCTGATAATTGTGTTGATAAGTGATGAGAAAAGAAGGCTGTCAATCAATTCTGTGTCGACAAGAATAAGCATCATAATTTTTCTGTGAGCTTGTGTTGGCGATGTCCAATCTAAAATTGACTCTGTATCATATGCGGGTCTCAAAATTTTAGTTGGCTTTGTTTAAAAAAGTCTACAAAGACCGACGCTTGTCATTAACTTTTTGGCGCAAGCTCTACCCTCGGCGTTAACGGCTCTTTTAAAAACTTTAATCTTTGGTCGACACAAAACGGTTTTTATCTTAACGGGTTCCCACAGCGTTTACAAAACAATTACCCAAAATCTGAGATTTTCTGCTCAAACTCACATTATTATAACTCATTCCAAATAAACAAACCCCCATTCATAAAACTTTGATTTTTTTCAAATATGGGACCTAAAATTAACCCACTGGAAAAACTCTTTTTCAACTATTATTTAGCAAATTTTGGTCAGCCAAAAATATTGAAAAATGTTGAAAATAAAGCTACAAAGCTTTAATAAACATTTAATTCTAACATGCTGCAGTTTTCACTTTTCCGAGAAGCCTGGAGCTGTTGAATAATTCTTTGTAGTCAAATTTAGTATCCACGTCACACGCTGACGGGTTGCACGGTCTGTTCACCGAATCCCATGGAACTACTTCACTCGAGTCTTGCAAATTGAGTCTAATAATTGAAGAGTTTTCTAAATTCATGAGCTTTAATAATGTTTCATACCAGTAGTGTATTTCATAAATTTCATGTTTTGTTTTTGATTGAATTTCACTCAGTTTCAGCTGTTTCATTTTTACAGTTTCATGTAACTGTCCCCTTACTTGCGCATGTCACTGATTGGAATATCGTATTATTGATGACAATTACAATGGACTACAACAAATAAATAGACACTTGATTTCAGGGGGCAAATGAACAAACTTTACTCCACGTTTTTTTTCGTTTTCTCTGCTATTAATTTAGAAAATAAGAAACAGGTTTATAATTTTAACAACTAATAGTTGAATTTCTTTAGATGCACTGAGCCAGGTCGAAATTTGATAAAAATTGCTTTGATGGCGTAAAGTTTGCAGTAAATTATAACTGGTTTTATAGGTGTTCTTGCTGTGAAAATGTCCTCGTGAAAATATAAGCAAATCGAATTTATGGGCCCAAATTGATTTTTTGGGAAGATGATGAGCTCGGCTCAGTTTCTAGGCCGAATTGAAAAAGTTATTTTTTTTCGGTGTCGAAAAGGGGTCGTATCTCATTTGACAAAACAGATATCAAAAGGCTGTGAACTCTTATACCAGAAAATTGGACTAACTTGAGAAGCAAAAGAACTCCTCAAGAGAAATTGGAGCAGTTTTTATTCCAAAAAGTGTGCTGAAACAGTTCTTTTTCTAGCTTTTTTGGTCATAAGCGCAAATTTAGTCGTAAATGTTTAGCCATTTTTGACAGAAGAACTCTTTCAACACCTCTGTCTGTTGATTTGTCTGTTGATTAGAAATTAACTCGTCAGCTCATCATCTTCCCAGAGCACCTTTTTTTATGGACAAAAATTTCAAAATACTTTTCTTGTTTACGAGGAGAATTCCACAGTAAGAGCACCTTCGAAACCAGTTTTGATATACAAAGTATTTTACGCCTTCAAAGCAAAATTTCTTAAATTTTGACCTCGCTTAGTCCTTCTTAATAATTTCATAGATCAATTATTAAAATTGCGATCCTGTATCTTACTTAAATGCGGAGAAAACGAGACAAACTGTGTTCTTCTTCTCGTTGAAATCAAGTGTCTTCTTAACTTTTTAGATCAGTGTATCAACAGCAGCAGTTTTTCAGCTAATGCCAGTGTTGTACCACTTAATAAAAACACTGGCTGCGAAAACAAGGAAAAAAAACATTTACAACCGGACAAAGAATTGGATCTTGTCAATTATATTTTTCTTCTAACTTAAATCGTTACTATCATTCAAAATGAACATCTAAAAACATTTTAAAGAAATTTTACGGGTAATTTGTTTTCCATTTGTGAAATATATTAGTGTTTGTGACTCAATTAAACTCAATTTGTCCATTTGTGTCCATTCTTTCTCATCGGCCCACAAAAAGTTCGCATCAATGGTTCGGCAACGCAAGACAATTACTAAAAAAGTGCAAATTATTGGCTGTTTCACTTTTGATCAACAGACTTAGAAGATATTAATTAATTTTAGGCCTAAAAACAAGCATCCAAAAGCAGTCTTCTGGGTTTGGCAACGTTATTGTTTTGCACTGCCCTCTCAAGTTTTGCACTGCCCTCTGCGGAGAAAACGAGACAAACTGTGTTCTTCTTCTCGTTGAAATCAAGTATCTTCTTAACTTTTTAGATCAGTGTATCAACAGCAGCAGTTTTTCAGCTAATGCCAGTGTTGTACCACTTAATAAAAACACTGGCTGCGAAAACAAAGAAAAAAAACATTTACAACCGGACAAAGAATTGGATCTTGTCAATTATACTTTTCTTGTAACTTAAATCGTTACTATCATTCAAAATGAACATGTAAAAAATTTTTAGGAAATTTTACGGGTAATTTGTTTTCCATTTGTGAAATATATTAGTGTTTGTGACTCAATTAAACTCAATTTGTCCATCTGTGTCCATTCTTTCTCATCGGCCCACAAAAAGTTCGCATCAAGGGTTCGGCAACGCAAGACAATCACTAAAAAAGTGCAAATTATTGGCTGTTTCACTTTTGATCAACAGACTAAGAAGATATTAATTAATTTTAGACCTAATAACAAGCATCCAAAAGCAGTCTTCTGGGTTTGGCAACGCTATTGTTTTGCACTGCCCTCTCAAGTTTTGCTTGATTTTCTTGATAATTAGGGAATGTGATTAAGTTGCAGTCAAACAGCATACCAGCAGAGTAAAAAAACTATTGAGAAAAAGAAATAAAAAATTGCAGAAAAAAAAGTTTTTTTTTCTTATTTTAAACTCAGTGATCAAGCTGACCGAAGAACTATGCCGCTCAAGCTTATCTACGGGGTATTAAATACAAAAACTCACTACATAAGACTCACTGCATCCAGTTTCAAGCGTTTATAATCGATCATCCTTTCTTGATTTTAAAACCAGTGTTTCTAAACTTTTCTATCTGGAGTTTCTGATCGAAAAATATTTTTACTAAAGTTTTTGAAAAGAACAGAAACTAATTTTGCGAAAACAAGCAACCCAAAAATGCTAACTATTTGCTACCCAACCATTCCTACCTAGTGAGGTATTGCACAGAAAAATTTCTCATGTTGATTCTAATTTTTTCTTTTTTTAAATTTTTCCAACGTCTGCGAGCAAATCAACAATTATTCGCTCCTAAATTTTTCTGCCAATTAGTCAAGAATTAATCAAAATTATATAAACATCTTTCGCAAAAAATTAAGTCACAACTTTGGTTAATTAGGATGGTGAACACAACCCAAAGCAAAAATTTTTCCTGCTTCAGTTATCTTGTAATACACTACTCTTCGCTTCAAAAAAAAACACCAATAGTAAACATTTGAATGATGACTTTAAAGGATTTCAACTTTCAGAGTTATTTTTTGCAACAAATTTTGTTGTCACACCAAGAAAAAAAAATTATTCACTGATTTAAATTTTTTCTGTCTGGAAGTTAATTGCATTAACGAAAGTTTTACTCTCTGTAAGTTTTTCGAAAGGATTGCCATCAAATTGGGAGGAATTTTTCGTTTTCTCTGCTATTAATTAGGAAAATAAGATACAGGTTAGTAATGTTAACACCTGATAGATGATTTTAGTTAGATGCACTGAGCCAGGTCAAAATTTGAGAAAAATTGCTTTGATGGCGTAAAGTTTCCAGTATATTATAACTGGTTTTTTAAGTGTTCTTGCTGTGGAAAGGTCCTCGTGAAAACATAAGCAATTTGAGTTTATGTACCCAAATTGATTTTTTGGGAAGATGATGAGCTCGGCTATTTCTCATTGCTTTAACACTTACAACCACGAATTTCAAACAGTTAAAGCTTTTCATTCTTCGATTCTTTGATAATAAAAGTCTAAGAAAAATACTAAACAAAATTTTCTTAATTAATTATAGGTACCAACCAGTTCAACAGATTTTTACATCAAAAATTTTTAAGAATATTTAATTCTCATTTGAGCCATTTTCTTGATAAACTGCAAAAAAACGCAACTAGCAAATAAAAACAACTAATGAGAATTATACAAATAAAATTATGAAAATTATTAAAATCGCTTCTTAAAGCTTTTGAAATTGTTGTTTGATAAATGATAAACTCAAGACTAACTTTTCCGGAAAGTTCAATTTTTTTCTGCTTAATATACTCGTTTTATGTCTTAAACAACATTCGTATTTGTAAAAAAGTTCTTCTTCTTTGTTGTTTTTATTTAGCAATATTTATTGTACTCATATCATTATCTCCCATTTGCAAGCAACTCACTGCTCATGATCTGTTTATTTTCTTGTTGCTGTCTGATTTTCGACTGCTAATTGTTCTTGGAATTGATAATTATTTTTGAATTTTGAAAAGTTTAGGTTGAAATTGATATCGTACTTGAACTAGTGTACGACAAGAAAACCAAAATATTGGCCATTTTTTCAAATCGGATAATTTTTACAGTAATTTGATTTTCTTTTTGTTGGATCCGATTCAATTAGCTATTGACGTTTTTTGAACTGAAACTTTTTGAAAAATTCGAAATCCTTTTCATGCGCGCTTACACTAATAAACATCAAAATTTACAATCATCCAACCTTTTTGCTCTCCTTTTTCGATAATAATACTTGTCAGAAAAATAATTCTTGTTTAATACATAGAGGTATTAACAAGTTCATCAGAATTTTAGATCGAAGAAGTTTAAGAAAAAAATCTTTTCTAATTTTAACTGTTTCTTACCAATATTTAAAAAAATGAACGAACAATCTAAAAACCTTATAAAGATAGGAAAAGTTTCAATATTTGACAAACTTTTAAATCTTTTTCTAAGGTTTTTAATAAAGCTTTTCAAAAATTATAAACTAAAACTTTAATATCATGATGAATTCACAGCCTTTTCTGCTTTAATAATTTTGCAACACACTGTTAAACTAAAATTTGAAACAATAAAGTTTTCACAAACAACGAACTATTTTGCATTTACTTTTCGGTGATAAAAATCTAAGAGAAAATCAAAAGAGTTTTTTTTTCTAGTTATAATTGGAGGTTAGATTCATTTCAGCCGATTTTTAGCTCGAAAAGATTCAAGAATTTTTTTTCTGATTTTAACGATTCTTTATGATAAAACACAAAAAACTACGAAATTTGAACAACCAATCTAAAATTAATATAAGGGTAGTAACTATTTAAATGATTGACAAATTGACAAATTTTAAATCCACTTTTCAAAAATTGAGCGATCAGGCAAAAGTTGTATGAAAGTTTTTTGCACAAAGTCATCCTGAAGTCAAGTAACACCCCAAGCTCGTTTCCATCCATATTAGCTCATTGAAGCAGCTAATTGAGTCAGAAACAGTTTTTCCACTAAAAAAAACTATATATCGTTTGAAACTGAACTAAGAGTGTCATTTGCTGAATTTCGTCTTGCCATCTTTTAAGAAATTTCCTAATTTCATTAAATATTCAATTGAATTTCTCATTAATTTTACAGTTTTAGGCTTTTAGCCTTGATATATGCCCGACAAATTTGAGAAAAATCTTTTTTTTAAATCGGAATTTATGATTCTCGGTGGTTTCCCAGAAAAAGTTGCTTTAGAATTGTTAATTTTTCAAGTTAAAAAGTTAAAAACATACCTGCAGTAAATCAGAATCCATTGTGTTCTTTCCGATTGAAAAATGAAAAAGTACCAAAAACTGGATATTTGTTTTAGATTGATTTGAATAAATTTAGTTAAAAACTCGCATGAACTTGCGTTTGTTTTGCTAGGAAGCTTGTGTCTGTGATTACATCAGCCCGGGTTTTTCAAATTTAAATTCCTCTCAGTCCAATAATTTTCTAATTTAAATCCACTTAGTTCATCTCTTATAGAAAAAACGTTCTTGTGCTCATGATTGAGATTTTAGAGAATCAGGATTAAGAATCCAGGGTTAATAAACAGTATTTATGTTCGGATTACTTTAGCCTTAGGCAACGAGGATGGATCTTTTCGGAGTTTGAACCCTGCACCGTTTGAAAAAACGGATCTCTTTAACTATAACTGAAATCATATTTTGGATAAGTTATGTGAAATTGCGAAAACATTTGATTGATATCCTTGAATTTTTTCAAAACAATGTACATTAATTTAAACTACGAAAAGAATATTTTGAATAATTGGATGTTTGGAATGAAAAACAATTGTAAAAAACTTTGAATTAGAGGGGATTCTTTAATCCATTGATTGAAACTAATCGAAAAAATAGAGAATATCTTTGTAATAAATATATGAAATTGATTTAACTTACCATACAATGTCAATAAAGCGCACATTTTTCTCATTTTGAGAAGTAAAGCAAGGGTGATTTGTGGAAAAGAATTGATTTCAATTGAGGACAAATGACAGCTATAACAAAATATCGATACTTGGTTGACGAAGTAAAACGAATAATTTATGCAGAGCTCAGAAGAAAATCTGCTTGTATCTTTTCCTTACGAAAACTTGCTTATCAAATCTTCATTACTGATTAAATGAAAGAAAACCTACATTTTTTAAACAATTTTTCTCACAAGATGCGTATTTTAAGAAAAAATTACAACAAAAACATAAATAATGTATTTTTTTGTTTCTGTTCTGTTAACCTTTGTTGTTACCGCGTAAAAGTAACAGCTTGATTTAAATAACAAAAAAAAATGAACAAATCAACATATGTGCTAATGTATCACGTCAAATCATATTCATTTTTTTGTTTCTGCTATTTGAAGTTTTGTTCAATACCGCGTGTAAGTAGCAGCTTGAAAGTTTTCCTTGAGACCAAGTCTCAATTTTATAACCTTCAACCTAGACAAAATCCAGACTTAATGGCTGCGCGTATTACATTAGTGGAACTTCCATATAGATAACCATTGCTGATTTCAGGGATTCAGGGTCATTTCAGGGTCAAATCAGAAATTCTGATTTATAAATGGCCCTCGTTGGTTCGGCTAAGCGAACAAAAACTAGCAAGGATTCATTGACAAGTTATCGATGATTCGTCAAAATGTCTCAGAAATGAATCATCGATAGCTCATCGATGACATCAATAAATCAACAATGATTTGTTCAGAGATGAATCAGCTGATTTTCAATGTTTTGTTCCCTTTTCCCTTTCAATGAAACCCTAGAAGTCAATGAAACTTGTTTTCCTTAAATAACTTCCAAATACTGCATGGATTAAAAAAGCTTCAAAACTATGGGATAACAAATTATTTTAAAAAATTGTTCAGAGGCTCACAACGTTTCACTGCACTTTTTCAAAAAAAAAAAATCAAAATCTTAAAGTAAGCTACTCCTGGAAATTGTATTCAATCAATATCCTTGTAATGATTGCAACTCACCGACGGACAGTTTCTTCTAGAAACAATTATGTTTGTTCAAATTTTGGCACAAAAGCGAAAATTAAATTAATTTGAGAAAATGCGATGATTGTACGGAATCTTCAATATGCGTCAGTTCGAGTTTGATTTTTCACTCATCCTTAGTAATGATGGTTAAAAAAATAATTTCAGTCGATTAATCATCGATTGTACCTCCACGGTTTTTCCTGATTCAGCGATGATAGATCAACCAGGGCAAGCGAAATATCAACTATAAAATGGAAAAAATTAAACACTTAAAAGCTGGACATATACTCGAAACCATTTAAACCGAATGAAAAACGTTGACAAAAAGTTAGAAAAGATAGTTTAACTAAGTGACTGAAGTTGAAAAAGTATTCCACAGTGTCGAGTGTAATTTTTTTTTGCGTGTATGTGTGCGTGTGTGTTTGCAGTGTGCAGAGGAGTGCGTTCGTTGTCAATTGAATAACTGCAGACCTGTTCAAATCTTCAAAAAACACTCTTCGAAAACTGTAACGCGCAAACAATAGTTTTATGTGAAATTTTAAAATGCAGTTTTTCTCGATATCCCAGAAGCTGAGCTTACAAAAATAAGCTCAGCATGAAACTCAAGTTTATTGTTCTTCTTTTGTGGTTTGCATACCAAAAATGCAATTTTATATATATAATAAGTATTTTATTACATATGTAACTGTCAAACATTACCTTCGAGTGGTATAAATTACTAAGCCGAATACAAAAAGATTCAGAATCGTACGAATAGTTTTAGAGATCACTTTCAGATTTGGCAAAATTGGGGCAGTTTTGTTTTTATTATGATGCGACCTCCTACGGAGACTTTCATCTCAAACTCTTAAAAGAATGGACGCTTTAAATCAGGCAATCAACGACAAAAAAGGTTATAGAACCATCTGAAACTCACTAATATGTCACAATCAAAAAACAATGCGAAAAAGTCCAAAATTTTTAACCACGTGAAATAAAAATAGAGCTTGATCATAGAAACGTTTACAGAAATTGGGAATAGAAATCTCACAGAGTCGCAGCCTTCAAACAATCAATAAAGTGATATTTTTATCATCCTGTATTTCAATTGTACATACGTACGCCATTCTAATTCTGTATGTATTTTTTAAGACTGAAGACTTTTTAACAGAACTGGAATCAAAACCTTCAGATTGCAATTCAGCACCTCGTTCAAACCAATTCAAACCAAAGGTAGAAGAGTTACATAGCACTTGCTGGACAAGGTAGACACTGAATTGAAAAGGATGGAAAATGAAGGGTCTATTATACAATTAGACAAAATTGACAATTATTGTTTCATAAACCCAAAAATGATTACGAAAAAAAAGTTGATTCGATGAAATTAAAACAGTTTCAGACTCAAAACAGCTGATCGACCAGATATTCAAAAACAAATATCAAAAGTAGATTTCAATTGATAACTTTCCCTTTCAATTGTCAAACAAAAAGTCCGGTGACGTCTAGTGTAGCAGTGTTGATGTGAAAAAAGCGTATAACCAACTAAATTTTTGCAAGAATAAAAGCACATAAGACCATTTCAGTTTAGTGATGGTAAAACCGTTTTTTACCTGGTTTCCACGGAATAGGTGACAAGCCCAATGAATATCAATGGGTGAAAGATTCACTTTTAAAAGAGATCCTTTTTACCAGCTGCTATCTGTGTGACATTTTAATAGCTGTTAGGGGAATGTTGAAAGAACATAAAGCCATATTATGGAAAGTCTTGATTTTACTTGATACAAATGCTCCATTCAGCTATGTTCCATTCAGATATGCTCCATAGCTGAATTGAACACAATCGCATTGCAATGATAACCAATTGCAGTAGCGTGGAAGATTGCGTGCTATCGATTGCAATAGAGTGCTTGCCGATGACTTAAGACTAACTTCTTTGAAAGCTTTAGTGACCCTTTAGTTTAAACGTTCCATGGCGTAGTTTGCATGCAGATAATTTTACGCAGCATGAAAACGAACCAACTTGTTACCCGTTTGCATGCCTATTTGGGATATCATACTTGGTTTTGCTTCAAAAAAATATTGCTTGTTTCAGTTTTTGGAGCTATGAATTGTCGCCAAGTTCATGAGAATGAAACTCTTTTAGGTGAAAACAGAGATGAAACATCTACAAAATTGAAAGAATTGTGGTATCAAAGAAAATTTCTCCGCCAGTTTTTTATAAGATTGAAAGGCTGCAGAATAAGTGAAAGGCTGCCAAAAAATGAACGCGCAAACTCCAGCTGGTTAAAATGGGAGGAATTTAAATTCGAACCAAGTGACAACACATGACCTCCAACAGCGTAGTTAACAAGAAGTTAAAGTGCAATATCAACTCGTAATTTTTGCCAACTGAAATTTGGACTATATAACCTTTCAAACGTAATCAAGAAACAAAAAAAACACTGAACGAGAGGGTGAAGATCTGCAAAAATGGCCAGGAAAAGAATCCTGAAGCCGTTTCGTCGGTGAAATAAAAACTGTGCATAAAGACTAATTGAGTTTTGTCAAGACACCCAAAAAAGCGATTTTTGGGTGTCAAAAACACCCAAAAAGGCACCCACAAACACTCAGTTTTGTCAAGACACCCAGTTTTGTCACCCAGTTTTGTAGTGACAAGACACCCATTTTTGTAGTGACAAAACACCCAGTTTTGTCAAGACCCCCAAAAAGGCGGGTTTTTACTTAAATTTAGTAGTTGTGAGCTTAGAAAGTCGTTAGTGATAATTCTGAACTCAATGTAGTTTTTAAAGCTTGTAACATTTAATTAAAATGTGTTGTTTACTGCTCTCAAATGTGTTTTACAGTGAAGACCTTTTGTTCAAAAGAATGTTAATTATTGATGAAAATTAGTTTTAAAAAAATGTGTCATTGAGATTTTTTTAAACGATACCCAAAAACAGCGCTTCTGTTATTCCTCCCAAAAAATCCTCCTAGTGTTTTCGCAAAAAGTTTTTTTTTTCTGTCCCCTTTTCAAAGAAAATGCGGAAAATATTTATGTTTTTTTTCTTCTAATTCTGCCTGTAGGTTGAAAAATTATTTTGCTAGCAGGAAAATTTAAAGTAAAAAGATAAAAATTGTTTAACCAGTTTTGGAGTATTAATATGAGAAAGAGCTAGAAACCAAAGCGAGGCCTAAAATTAATGATCGAAACTGTTTAAGCTTATTTTCAATGGATGTGAAGAAAGGTAGATTAAATTTGCTAGGTATTTTTTTTCTAAAAAGTCTTTGAAATTAGAGCTCAAATATAATAAAATAACCTTTTTTCAGAGTCAAGAATCTTTGCAGACATCAATCACGTCTAATAAATCATAAAAGGTTCGTGTTTATAACCAAGAATACCGATTAGCAGTATTAACCAAACCGAAAGGTGAATAAACCGAAGAAATTTGACCAGTTATAAACTTAGGAAAAACCTTCAGCCAAATTCCGTAAGCTCAAAAATAAACATAGCTATTCATATTTCAGTACAACAAAAAAGAAAAAATGATTCGTGTTTCTATGATTCGTTTTTAAATAAATATTGATGACTTATGCTGTGAGCTCAGTTAAACGGACGGTGTGGTGTAATCAATCAAAAATAGAAAGTAGTTCAAATGTAGCATTAACAATGAAGCTCGAATTGGAATTCATTCTCGGTTCACTTGTCAAAATCAGTAACCGGTTTCATGGTTGATGTTTTTTACCAGTCTTACAGAGGAGATAAATTTAGTCCAGATTTCTCTTTATCCAGGCGATTATTCTAGTTTTTATGACTTATTACAAGACAAGAGTCTTTGTTCGTCTTCAATCATGCTCTAGAAAAATTTTGCAGTAACATCAAGGGCATGCGCGGGTTTTTTTCTATGGGAGGATGTTTTAATGGTAGCGTGTTTTTGAAAAAAAAATTTTGTGCTTTTTTAGGTCAGCCCCCGTACCTAGTAAATTTTCTAAATCAGATCTGAAATAATCTTTTTCCGATTTTAATTTCAGATCTGAAATAGGTTATGATTTTTTTAAAATCAGTCAATTATCTATTTGGTTCAGTTTTCAACATTTTGTTTTGTTTAGGTCCACGTTTTACATTACTAGCAGAGTCTGCACATAGCTAGCCAATTTCGCTTCATTGTAGAACATCCGATTTCTTACCTCTAGGGTAAGAAATCATGATCTGAGCCAAGACTCCTCCACTTGGTTCTTGTGCCTCGGAAGCACACACTGGAAGTACGGAGCACGGCAAAAGACAGCCGGCACTTCACCCAGTTCATAGTTTTACTATAGGGTTTCTCCCACTTGGTAGATAATGCTTCTCCTATTCTCCGAAGGAAACTTGCAAATTCTGGAGCAAGCATCCCATCAACAGACACGACAAGATGAGTGAAAGACATATGTCTTTCCTGACACGCTTCTGAATATTTTGTTTTTTTCTCAACCTCTGCTGAGTGCAAAACACTTCTGGGGCTTCTGTTCTGATAGGAGATGGCGTCGGTGTCAGAGACACGAATATCAAAAGACGCTCCTCCCTGTCTAACATAAACTCCACCACAAGACAAATCTGCAATTAATGCGGGTGTCTCATCTTGCGGGTTGTATTCTCTAATAACAGGCTCTCTCTAAACATCCTTCCACACTAAAGAAGCTAATTCGCCTACAGCATCTCTAATCTCATTGTGCCGTAAAGTTAAGAGACCACCTTTTTTGCACATTAGCGCATGCCGTAGGGTGAATGGCGATTAGCAACCATCACAAAAAGTTGGCGAAGCGATCAAGTTTTTGTTATACCGGACACTCAATGCATCCCCAAACTCCACTTCCGAAAGATCAACGTTTTCTGCAGCAATCGGTAACGCTGTCAGCCAGGCAGACAAGCTTCCTTCATTGATTCTTTTTACTGCGCGAACTTGGTCTGCTGGTAGCTCATTCAATAACTCCCCCAACAACTCTTCATGTTTTTCTTCCATTATCCGATGATGTTTTTTCCGCGATCGAGACGTTTACTTTCTGTGGTCTTCATGGGAAAAACCGTGCTGATCAACAATAGCATCATAAAGAACCGTAACTGTTTCCCGTGACGTGTTGTAAGACTCATCAGCGAAACTGGTTGGGTTAGACACTCCAAGACCACCCATTCTTGCTGGCAAACAAAAGAGACGTCTCTCGATTGATGAAATTGACGAAGTTCCAAGTATCGCAGATAAGAATTTCTTCATCAGAAGGTTCTCTAGCGGTTGAAAAAGCTGACTAGAAACACCCAAAACACGATGGGAAAAATTCCATTCCGCTTGTAGGGACTTAGTAGTCCCGATAAAGCACATTGTGGTTCTGTTTTTGCCACAAAAGAAAGTTTCTCAATTTTGTCTACCCATTCAAGTTCTTTCTTTTTCAGGTAGATGTCCTTCTCATTTCCGTCTCCAATGAAACCGCCCAGAAACCTCTTCCCTTCCACTATAGTAATCGAGTACTTGTCAAATATGTGATGCGCTTCTTCAGCATATTGTTTATCGACAACCAGAAAATTTTTGGAAGCTTCTGGAAAGTAACCGAAGGCGGGATCTTCCTCAATCAAATTTTTGAGCCATATCTCCAATTTCTTGAGTTTTTGCCATGGCCGCAGAATCATCAGCATATCAATTTTGTAACACATTGTTTGGATCCTTTAAATTCCGAATCAGGGGAAGAAGTGAAACACCATAGAAAAATCTTGCAAGTGGGTCTCCCTGTGTGGTTCCTTCCCTACTGTATATCACTTCATCTGCGCCAGCAACGAAAAGCGACGCGAAGCCTCTGTAAGTATTGAAGAGAAATCTAGAACATCTAGGCCACAATAACTAGGCGTTAGAGCGGTTTGAGCGCCTAGGCATGCTAATATTCGAGCAATCTACAACGCTGTTTCACGATTGAGCTAGTTGAAAGCATTTGATGCATCCATCAACAGCATGCCACAGCCATCTTTATTGTTGTCATCAAAAACATCAGAGAGCGCATGAATTGCACCTTCAGAGCCAGCTTTCAGCCCACAAGCTAATTGATCAGTCGAACATGTTTCTTCAAGGTCAATTTTTGTGAACTCGGCCACACTTTTGCAAATTATTCTCCGTAGACACTCGCCTATGCCAAGAGGTCGCGCGCCAGGACATTTATCAAGCGCAATCAATCTTCCAGAAACCAGTGCTCGCGCTTTCGACCATGGTAAGATTTGATGACGTAATAAAACCCTCTGCCAATGCTCAGAATCTGTTCCCGAAGCTCCCTAACTGCCCTGCAAAGAACGTGTCGCCTTTTCAATGGTAGCAGAACTGATTATAACATCTTCAAAGTCGGGTAAAACTGGCACTTGCAATCGCGAAGAGAGATTTGACTTGTGTGGCTCTGGATGCTTTGACTTCAAAGTCTCTAAAACGGTCACACCTTTCTTCACCTCTTGCATCGGATCAAGCACACCCCCGCTTGCTCTCTCCGAGAGCCACCGCACAGCACTTCTCACTTTGCGTTTCATCATTAATGAAGCAAACACTTTCGAGACATGTTTGTCGTCCAAATTATCTTAATTTATTTGTTTCTTTTTGCCCCATCTCACTGCTTCCGCCAACAACTTGTCGAATTTGTTTTCCTTCCAGTCTTCATTGCGCAGTCCAATAAGTGTTCAAATGTCTTTTGATGCTTTGATCATTAGATCTTTTTGTAACAAAACACGACTCATCGCCAGAACTCTTTCTGAAGTGGAATCAGCAGTGGTAGAAAGAAGCTTCAGTTGATGTGTCAGGAGGTCCACGTACTTCCTACCAATGTTACCATTAGCCAAAGTATATAAGTCTGTATATAAAGTATATGAAGGATGTAATATAAAGTATAAGTCTTTTTGGCAACTGTACACTTTTTTCACCCATCTTTCAGTCCAAATCGAATGATCAAGACAAGTTGATTTGTCAAGTGACGCACCGAATGCTTCCATCATTATGTCTTCGTCATGGCTTTCGAGATTCGGATCACTTTCTGGTAGCACATCTTCTATATGCAGGTCTTGCATGGTTTGAGTTAATCCTGTGCAGCCATTGCTTGTCGGTGTAACATTAACGCGGTCATTGTTATCTTGTGATATTAACAACTCTTCCACTTCAAACCCGCTGGTATTGGAAACACTGAGCTGCGAATCAGAATTATACCCCAAATAACTAGGCGGTTTGATAATTCTCTGAGTCTGCCTTATGATATCAGGAGCGTTCCTTGAACCAAACTCGAACTCTTCCCGAGCACGGGCCACTCTGCTCCAGAAACGAGCTCCTCTCCAAACACGAGTTCCAAGCACTGGCTCTGTACCAAACACACACGAGCTCCAAGCACCGGCTCTGCTTCCAACACGAGCACCAATCCACAAAAAAGCTGCACTCCGAACACGTGCTCTGCTCCACTCACGAGTTCAGCTCCAAACACGAGCTCTAATCTAAATACGAGCACTGCTTGAGATAAAATAGCCGCTCAGTTGTCGATGTTGCAGTGGTTGTTGTTTTTTTTCTTGCTTAACAAGACTCGTGCATAATTTTTTTTATGTACGCGCGTGTCCGTTTTTTCATGGAAGAGTGCATAGTTTTATCACACCACCAGAAAGTTTTTGATCCTTTGAGTTCATGAATAAAGAGTCGTTTGAATTGCAGTTTCTTTCAGATTGCGATAGTTTGGAAGTTGCCAATTTCGAATAATAAATGCGCGCTATAAATTTGAATTACGCTTTTTCATATGTGTAAATCCGCGCTCAAAGTCAAAGTCGTACAAACTTAAGCTAGCTTTTTGGCTCAAAGAATGCATTAAAGGACTCAAATGCTTAAATTTATACTTTTGTTGACTTTGTTGAAAATTGTTTATGTGTTTAATAAAAAACGACTTAAAATCATTCAAACGCCTTCGGAGAAAAAGGGTTTCGTCCAGGTTTGAGCAAATTATAAACAGTTTTTCTACCAATTAGTCTCTTTTAATGCACATAAGTGTTACTGGGTCAATTAAAATAGGTCATGGCGTTTTATATAAAATTTTTTGTTGTTTTAATGAACCACTTATTGATTTTTCTCTACCTAGATTGTTTGATATTTGCTTGTTTTTGAGACAAGATTGTGTGGAAGGTATTTCACGGATTTCTTGAAGTTTTTTGCCAGCTGACTATCCAATTTTAGTTACCGAGAAAAAAAAGTGTATGCTTATTGATCTTGGAAACTCGATCA